GCAGATGCGCAGGGATGGTGAGCACTTATTTAAACTCGGAGTACGACTGTACCCAGCTGGGGTTTGGGCTCGCAGCTCTTCCCTCGCTGTCTCAGGGTGTCCTCTCAATGCACGCAGGCTCCTGGGCGCCTGGTGTTTATTTAACACCAGATTCCCCCAGGATTTGCTTTTTTCTCTCCCACAATGTCTTTCCAGTTATCAGTGCTTGCAAAGAGGTGTTGCTGACCTGATGGAAACAGTTGTGTGCTGGAGTAACATCTTTAGGAAGAGGACGAAGGAAGCGCTCCCGTTCTTTCAAACGCTAACCCTAAATAACACATGAGGGTGTGACACCCTGCAAATCCTTTGCTCTTTTTTTGCTCCCACTCTAAACTTTGGGATTCTTTAGGAGCCTGGTAATGTTTGAAGTTTAGCAACAAAGACTATTCGCCTGCTTGTTGAATTGTAGCTGTCACAAGATCTTAAAAGAAAACAGAAGCGTGTATTATTGAAACATCAGGCCTCTGATTGCCTTCATATGCTCTTAATTTGACAAAAAAATTCACCAATAATGTGGTAAAGGAGCTTTTACCAACCAAGTAAACTTCTGGTTCTACCTCTTCTCTGGAAAAGAGTTTGCAGTTGGGTTTTTTTCCGCCTTTAACTACAGTAACATCTTAAAATAAATAAATATATATAGTAAAAAACCCGACTTGTATGTGGAATGGAAACTAGATGTTTTCTAGACGATTTTGGCATGACCGTGTTTTGTCTGCCTTTACAGAGGGGAGGTACTAATGCTAAAATTGCACCAATCTGAGATAATTTATTACAAGTCCTAGAATATCTTTACCAAAGTAAACGCAGGACAGAGGAAGGCTCTTGTGAGCACAGAGGTGGCTATTCTTTTGCAGTGGAGTAGTAGAAGGTTGAAAGTATTAACTTGCACTGGGAATTGACACCAAGGGATCTAAGCTTGGACTCAGTAAGTATTTCAAGGAACAAGGCAAGGAAGTTAAGTTGCTCCTTACTCATTTCAGGTGCAAGAATGACATGTACGCATTCATTCATCTGAAATGAATGGAAATCTGTCTTCCAGTTTAAAGCCAATTTGTCTAATTGGTATTTTCGTTGAAATGCATGGCACTTAAGCCTTGCGTCCTGAATGACTCACGGTTTAGATAGGGAGGCTGAGATAATAGAGAAGGTAATTCATTTTAAAGTCAAGCACTGTCATCTTATTGATTCATAAACCGTAATGTATGTCTGTTAAGACCTACAGCTGATATTTAATTTGATAAATTGCGGAAGTAGTGATCTTTGGCTCTGAAAGCTGGTGGACATTTCAGTTATTGCTTTATATCACTGAACAGGGAACTGTTTATCTCTTGGCACTGAGTTGAGGACTTACATGGTAGTGACCTGTGAGCTGGTTAAAGTGTTATGCTGGATTAGCATTAGCACAATGACTTTTATACATTTTACAGCATTAGTATGTTATCTATTAAATCGGGATTGTCAAATCTATTTTGTGTGTTTTAAGGCTGTAAAAATTCCTATAGTCTATTATTAGTGCTTGTTTAAAACTTGAAATAAATATGTTTAGACTAAAAGTTTCAACTTGAGTGTTTTAAAAGCCAGGTTCTTGAATTCATTCTTAGTCATCAAACTAAACAGAGCTTGATTCTCGGAAGTACTGAAAAGCTGTGCTGAATTCAGTAAAAGCTCTGGAATCTCTGCATGGGTTGATGTCCTCAGGATCAAGTTGGAGGGAGTAGAAAAAAGGGCCAACAGATCAGAGAACCTTCCCGCAGAGAAAAGAGAGAAACTCCAGAAAGTTGTGAACAAGGATGAAAGCAAGGGGCAACCGTGGAAGTCACCCTGATGGTTACATGTATTTCCTCACTCGATGTTGAAAATTCCTTCATATTGGTTGCTTTAAAGGACCACATTTCATTCTTTATTCCTGCAGGACTCTTGCTGTAGATTGTGAGGATTGTTTACATCTCAATTTATTTCTCAGCCCATTGGCCGTAATTGAAAATGGAATTTGGCACTCTCCAGAGCCCCTGCTGGAGACTTTCACCTTGTAGAAGAAAGGGGATTAGATGTGATGATTTATTGGACTCATGTACAGTCCCCCGACTGTACTGTGGCACTGAGCCGAAAGCAAGCTGAAATGGTACCCAGTCCTCTCTGGCAGCCACTCGGACCGTGAGCAGCGTAAATCCTGTCCCTTGACTAAAACCCTGTCTTGTTCCATCCAAATTTGCCCACATTCCTGATGTGCGGGAGCTCTTGGTAGTACAAAGTTAAGGTTGGAGAAGGCAGTGGCTGCCCGCCAAGGCAGCGTGCCTTTAGGATGTTGGAGTCTGTGCTTGTGTTTGTGTTGTCACGATGAGCCATACGCTGTGCCTGTGAAAAACGCAGAAAATTATTTCTTACGGTCATCATGCTCCATCTTTGAGAGGGAATTGGAAGTGATGTTCAGAATCGCAGCTCCGACATTCGATCGTTGCTCTGTGATTACTTTTTAGATTTTAAGGACTTTTTGGTACTAAAGCCAAACAGAAAAGCAGTCATAAATCTGGCAGAGGCTTTGCTTGCTTGCTTTCTTCTCCCCTGCCAAGCCAGAAAATGAAAAGGAAGAAATATGTGGCCAGGCACAACTTCTACCACAGCATTTAAAAAATATGTATTTCTTTGAGGTGATCGTTCTGGGAGAGCAGATGGCAAGCCTGCTCTTTCTTAGGGTGAGCTTTCAGGATCATGGTGTCTTTTGAAACATCTCCAAGCGCCTTACTGCTTTCTTAGATGCTCTTAAAAGTGTGCTCTTTTTGCACTCTGAGTTCTTTGCCTTTGCTGGGTACTAGTGAGGGATCATCCTGTAATACCCCTAATAAAAACCCAGCTTGTTCATACCAAACCACCTTTTTCTTCTGCTCAGAGTGATGTCATACAACGTACCTCACAGGAACAGATGAAAGATCCTGATGAAATGATGCAGCCGACTAGGGCTGTTTCCATTGCAGGAAGGGTAATTTACTGGGGCTGAAGTGTATTGGTTTCTGCAAAAGCCTTATTGCAAAAGTTTCTTATGTCCAGAATGAAATCTGGTCTGAAAGAGAGGAGGAAAAAAACCCCGCTACCCTGGAGAAACTGCTTGTAAGAACAAGAAAACTACATAGGATAGCTGATGGCTTGTGGGGAAACCCAGCTTCAGGTCCCCAGTCTAATTCAGGCACAGGGAAAACTTGCAGCAGTTTAGTGACATCCAGTCTGTACTGGCAGGATATTTATTGCTGTTACTCACTGAACCCTTGTTATGCAGTTGTTTCTGTTGATAATGTGAACTCCTTGGGTATTACACTTGCTTTAAATCCTCCAGACATTTTTTCCATTAATGAAGCTGTGCCGTCCCTGTGCTATGATTTGCCAGGGGTGCTTTTTCGTGATGCAGAAGTGTCTTTAACCTTCGACGCTTCCTCAGCAGCGTCATGGTGAAAAATTGTGAATACGTGTAAAGGCTGCTTGTGGAAATTATTTCCCTTGGCAAATCTACTTCATTAGGGCTGTGTAACTGTAAGAAAAGCAACACATACAGTTTCCTTGAATTAAAGGATTTTTCAGTTTATTTGCGACCTGATTGTCGTTGCATCTTTTTCCTTTTAGAAATCAGCCATATTTAAAAGCAGTCTGTGGGCTATGTTACCAGTGTATGGTTGAACCACTGGAAGCGGTACATTTGGGTAGACTGAAAGAGAAAGAAACTGGATGTATTTCCAACCTAAAATAGTACTTCTCCAGATTGTGTTTGGGCAAATATTCATTAGTCTCTTTATGTGCTCACATCCCAGACAGTCTGTGGTGTACCTGCAAGGCAGAACTGTCTTTTCTCTGTCTTGCCGAGGACAAATCCCACAGACTGTCGCCTTTGTGTTCATAGGATTGTGAGCAGAAGGGACTGAACATGTGGCAAAATTAATAACTGGGTAGCATTCATACTTTCATCCTTAATTAAAGACAAGTGGGTATGTGAAATATATTTCCCCAGGGCTATGGTGAGGGAATATCCACACATGTAATTAATCTAGCTGCTGGAAGTCACAATTTCACCAGTAAAATGAAGCAAAGAGACACCAGCGAACAATATGGGCACACTCCAACATTCATTGAAGTCAATGGGAAACTTGTCTTTGACTTCAAAGAGCATTGGACTGAACCCTGCGAGATCGTATTAAAACACTTAAAAGTCATTAAGCACTTATTCTTGCCATACTGCAGTAATAGAGCTAGAAAAACTAGGTGGATTTTAATTTAACCCACTCCTTAAATTTTTAATTGTTCCATGTTTACACAGTTGGTTGGATACAGTTGGATTAGGTGGTGATTTGCCTGATGATTTATTGTGTGTGTTGCTGCATGGCATGCTCTTTTATAGTCGTCTTTCTCTGTATACGTAGTCTTCTTGTATGCTGACACAATCCTCGCTTAAATTAATACACGTGATTTTCTGTGAGAGCAAAGCTAGTATCTTCTGTGAATTGTAGCATTGTTATTTAGTAATCTCAGTACGGTACAACTCCTACTCCAAGGGTGGGACTGTGGAGGGGCTGAAGGTGTTGGTGTCTCTTCTGTTGAGCGGGTTAGCAGTGCCCCAGAGCATGCATGGTCCTCTTTATGGGATGGAGAAGAGGTCACAGAGCTGCTGTCACCACTGCCACTATGTCTGATGTCTTGGTTTTATTGAAAAACATTTGATTTCTAGGTGTGTAAAATATGCCGCTGCTTCTGTGGAACCAAGAGTAGGTCTCAAAAGAATAATTTTTCTGTTGACTTTTTTTTTCTTTGTATAATGTGCTTATTCCTGTTTGGCACAGAGAAGAATAAAGTAGAGAAGGCTGCTTCTTGTCTGCAGTGTTGAATATAAAAATCTGCTTTAATTCTGTGTACAATTATTGTATATAAAAATCTACTTGCCTATACGCATAAGTGAAATATCTGTTTGTTTTCTTTTATAGAAAAGAGTCAAAGACGTCATATCTCCAATTGTATTTGAAGCTGCGTACAGCCTTGGGGAACACGTGATAGAAAGAGGAAAAGAGGACAAGGAACTACCTGCTCTCAGGCCTGTTCTCCGCTGGAAGAAAGGACAAAAGATAGCACAAAGGAATCAGGTCAGATTTGGACTGTGTTATTTCCTTGGAAGGCCTGTGACTGAGCTGACTGCAGGAGTGGACGTAAAAGGGGATTGCCAGACTCTGTTGTTTGCACACAGTAACCTTTTTATACAATCTCTACTGTTGCTGACATTAGTGCTTCTCCATGATGTAGTAAAGACTTGTGCTGACAAGGTTGGGCAGTGCAAGGTGAGGTCACTTTCTTATTTCAGGGTGTTCGTGCTGGGAAGGAGGAGACTGAATAAGGGAAAGGACGAGAAAGGTCCTGCTCTTTCTGGCTTGTCCCTTTCTGTAGGAGGTTCTTGTGAAAGGCTTGGCCCTGGCTTTCTTTCCAGGTTAAGCCTTCGTTAGTGCTGGAGCAACAGGGCTAACTCCAGGAGGGGACACAGGAACTTGCCCCTTTGTGTAAGGGGAGAACGGTGGACAGAATAAAGAAAAAATTGCCGGGGCCAACTGCCCTCTTTTCCTGAGGGCTCCTCACATCCAGTGATGTGACAGGGGAGACCTGCTGTTATTGCAGGACGTGCCATGCTAAAATAGGATGGGTTTGTTTCAGAGAAAGTAAAATGTAGGTGCAGCCATGTACTTACAAGGATCCTATTTTGCTCTACTGCATTGCAGAAAACCCTTTTGTCTTTAATTTTGGTGAGAGCAAGAGAACTGCCTTGATTTTTGAAACACTTCTCGTTCAGAAAGTAGACATCTTTTTTTTCTTTCTCCCAAATTGTTCCCTAAGGAATTGAAGTATATGTGATTATCCCACTTCTCTTGTTTGTCTGTCCTGACCTTACTAGTATCATTGGAAAATGCTGACGGATTTTAGCAGGTTTTGACAGGAGTGATCAAGACAGTGCTTATGAAGGTATTAAACACCTTCAGGGTTCACGAAGCAGGCAGTCATGTCGAGGAGAGAGACCCTGTTAGCGACCTTTGGAAAGACTCCAGTCTGAGCGCAATCCTGGTAGGTGCAGGACAGTCTGGCCAGGAAGGAGCCTGCAGGACAATTCAGCCTCCCACTGTGCTGGCACCAGAGCATCCAACTGTGAAGCTCGAGGCTCTACGGGGAAATTGGACTTCTTCTGTGGCTTGCAAAACTTCTTGTGTGTCAGAATTGCAGGATAATTTAGGCTGGAGGGGACCTTTGTAGTTCCAGTTCCTTGCTCAAAGCAGAGACAACTTAAAAGTTAGATGGATTTGCTCAGGGTTGCATCCAGACAAGTTTATTTCCAAGCTGGCATTGCCTGTGAATAGGAAACTTTTTTTAATAGCTGTGAAAATTCTTGTCTCGAATCTGAGGCTTGCATCGTCATCTGGAACATTGCTTTCTGATGCTGCTCATAAGGATATGTTATTGTGTTGAAATTGCAGGTCCCTGAATACTACTCAAAAAAAACCCCATAAATTAACTAAAATGCTTAAAGACATTTGCTTTGTCATATACCCAAGTGTTTTGAACTGTATTTGGCTATAATCCTTGTGCTTGGAGACATGAGTACTTACTCAAGTATGCTTTATTTTTGTAAATGTATGAATGAATGACGCAACTAAGTAGTACGTATTTTTATGAAGAGGGATTGTGTGGCTGTTATCTATCTGAATGTTGTGTTGTTGCAAAGATATGATGGGAATTTGTGGAGAACTTTGGAACTTGAGCAGTGTACTAAAAAAACTTGTGTTACACGAACAAAACTGCTTGGATGCTTTACCACTGGGTTTCAGCTCAAAAGGTCACATCTTGCCCTGCAGGCATAGTCTCGGATCAATATTAAAATACCTAAATGCTGAGATTATAAAGCAGAAACAAAAATATGTTGGGAATTTCCCTGACTTGTTTTCCTGTGTAATTTGGATGAGAGGGAGCTAGTTTAACAATCCCTTCCCATTTGCTTTCCAGATGTTATTCACTTAGCATAGTAAGAAAAGGATTTTAAGATGGGGTGTGCCTGCAAGTGTGCTTTCAGCTAAGGAAGTGGAAGAGCTTCAGAGTTAGTGTGGCAGTCATGGTGACAAAGCCCTGATGGAGTAGCCTCGAGGCATGGTGGCGGGGTCCTCAAAGACCCATTTCATGGGAAAATCAGGGCGTAGCATTGTCTTTCAGGATTCTTCTTGCCTCACAAGTAGAAATTGTTTTAAAAGGTCAAGAGGGATAGTAGGAACCAAAGTTGATATAATAAAGGTTTTATATTTTCAAAGAATCTAGCGATGACGGAGGGACTTCACATTTTGGAAGTCCAATTCAAGACAGATTTAGTGGGCTCTGTTTTCGGACGATTCAGCATGGGTGAGGGCAGGTGAACAAGCTTAGTATTAGTGCTAGTACTGAAGTCTTTAAATACAGCTAGCTGTGTGTGGTCTTCAAAAGCCCTGGATCCTATTGATCCAGTAAGAAGTGGCATTTTGAAATCAGAAATGTTGCATCTGTTGCTTCGAGGCACCATTAAGATACTGTTAAGAGGTTGACACTTTTCTAAAAAGTTTTTTGTGAATGTATGCAGAAGAAACTGGAAGTAGTGAATAGCTGAAGAAGTGGGAGGGAGCTGTGACTGGGCAGGAAAGTGGGAGACTTCTGTCTTTCAAGATCCTCCTGCAGGTCTGCTAGACCTACTTGAAAAGCCACACATCTTGCAAACATGTGGGCTTTATAGTCACCTAGATATTATTTTATTTAAACTAAAGTGATGTTAAAGCTGATCACTTTCACTGGGATTTTGGTTTGTTTTTCATGAACCAGATGTTTCCCGCATGCATATGTGACTTCCCAGCAAGAGTGTACAGCCCTATGGCTCCCAAACAAGGAGGCAGGAAAACCATCAAGAGGTCTCTTGACATGAGAACTGAGGATTATATTGAGCATGTCAAGTTCTTCATGGAGCTTTGCTCTAATGCATTAATGAGGCAGCGTTGAAATAGTGTTCATGGACACCCCCCACCAGAAGTGACATCTCCCTAATAACATAATTGCAGAAAAGGATTTTGTTGGGTATTCATCCTTTAAGTCTGTATTAGATTATATGTGAGAGAACAGTCTGGTCTTGTAGTAATCGCTTAAACCAAAGCAGAGCTATAGTAGTAAAGGGATATCATGCATGTGCGTGCATGTGGGATATCATTCAAAATGCTTTTATTTATTGGTCATCTTTATTTTAAAAGAATGCAGCTTTTACTGCAAGACAATGCAAAATGCTTGTGTTTAAAATTAAAACCAAACCAAACCTTGACTGTTCAGTGAAGGAGCTTGCTTCTATTCTTAAATGAACTGTTCTTGAAACAATCAAAATATGATAAATAATTCAAACATCTGATTGATTTGAAGAAAAGGATCTTAACTGAAATTTCCTGATGAGAAAGCATGCAATTTTGGGACTTCATGTATTGGCCATTTTTTGTAAGCAAAGAGACTCTGATACTCCAAAATGAAGTAATAATGAAATTAAACTGGCCTGAGGGACTGTTTGGCCCAGGATACAGTAACAGTTGTATATGCTTACCAGAAACGATGGTTGCTATAGCTTGGTGTAATTTTTTGTGGTAGCAAAAGCAAATACTTAAGAGTTATGTGTATGTCTCTATTGATAGATGCCTCGGCAACTTGTACAATTGTTGGGTGGAGACTGCTTGTGTGGAGAAGATTACAGCTTTCCAAGTTGTAAGTGGCTAGCCAGCTCAGTTTGCTCAAGCAGAACGTCTCTGGTGGGTCAAGACTGGGTGTGGGGGGGGGAAGATTCTACTTTTTGAGTGCATATTATGAACTTTAAAAATTCCCACCCTGAGGATGACTTTCCATTAGCTTCTTTGTTGCCTCCCAAATCCAGTTGCTACCTCCATCCACTGGAAAAAACTACTAAGTCATCTTACTTCAGGGAAATTAATGTGTATTTAGAACTTGGTTTGGCTTAGTTCATTCTAAGTGGTTTGTACTATAACATTTATTTTTGTATACCCACTGTATAAATACATGTGAACCAAGAAGGAGAAAGATCTCCTGCCAAATACAGTGGGGATTTGTTCCTAGTAGTATCCAGTATTGTATCTTACAGTTCAAAATGTGGTATGCTAGAATTCTGCCTGTTCTAAATACTGTAATAAAATCACCTGCTGTTATGTGGATGGAGACACCATTTTGTTATAGGAAAATATTCTCAGTAGATTTAATTGCATCAGTGTCTTCAGGACTTTGTGAATGATCTGCCGTAAAACTGCTTGTAAGTTTTATAAGAAGAGACAAAAAATGTTCAGGACGTTCTGTTCCCAGCTGTGCCAACTGACTTGCAGTGAGAATTTGGGTACAGTGCTGCACCTCCGGGTGACTGAGCCTGCATGTCTCTGGGATAAACTTCACCTTTTTAAAGCAGAGGACTGACTTTTCAAAATACTTGTGTTTGAAAAACTGGTTAAGTAGTTGCACATAAATTAGCTTAGTTGGCAGGTATGAGGAAGTAAAGGAGGATTTTTATGGAGCTGAATTATGAATATCTTCAGTGATTTTTTTGGTTTGCTGCATAAATAATGCCATTCTCTATTTTAAAATACGCACACACACCTCCAGTCTCATACTGAGGACGAAGCAATGACAGATTTGGACAGGCTGAAATGCAGCATCCATGCAAACAGTGTGGTCCAGGTTTGTTAGTGGTGCCTTCTCCAGAGCAGAGATCCTTCTGTGCCTGCTTGAGTCAGGTCATGTCTCTGCCAGCAAACTGAGCTGTGCTGGGGACATTTCTAGGCGTTGAAGTGACTTCTTTATCCTGGTAAGCTGCTGGAATGGCTCTTGGCATGATTTTGACATCTGCCAAATACTCCAAACCATTCCCAGGCATAGATCAGGAGTTAGGATGCTCTTGTCTTGGAGGCCAGGGCAGTTTAATTTACTGGTACAGCTGAAGCCTCAGTACCTGAGTATACCTGTCAGTAGCTGGATAGGTGGAAAGTTTAAAGGTTAATTGACTCGTGCCCAGGCACATAGGAAGTCTTTGGGAGACTGCAGGCGTCAGCCTAAT